TAACTCCCTAATCTGTTATTAGAAAAAGAGATTAGCCATGCAAAATTATAATTAAAAATATCACAGATTAAACCGATAACTTTTTGGTGTCCAACTTAGTTTTATCGATTATACTTGCGAAGAAGAGGAGGAATGTCAAATATTAAAGTAAACAAAAATTGACGCTAGTAAGGAAAATAGGTTTGTAAAGGTATTTTTAATAAAATATTCAGTTATAAATATATTTAAATGGCCTAATATGTGCTGCAAAAAAAAGTGACCACGGTGGCACAGACAAGAAGTTTAACTTTTCCTCGAGTTGTGTGAATAACAAGCACAACCAATTTGACAGTTACCGAGCTTTGATTGAGATTATATTTATATGTAAACGTACTTTTATGCTTTGCCGTTCGCATATGTATACACATCAAATTTCATGAGTACCTAGTACTCACGCCTTTTTAAAATAAGTTCTTTGCCTTCCTTAGCAAATTGGATTTTTAGAGGTCTACAAAATCTAATAGACTGTGGTGCTCTGTTTTTCTACAAAATTCTTCGAAGTCATCAGGTAACTGCAAAGGAATTAGACTTTGCCCGGTTGTGCCGTCAAAACCGTAGATGAGAGAGAGAGTTACGTTTCGTACGTCAGTAAAATTGTTAAGTACGCTTTCCTGCAAAGTCGAAATTCTTCATGCTGTATGGTTCAGTAAATTTTGTAAGCTTACTTCTGCAATGGTTTCGGTAACGCTTATTTCTTTGGGTCTGCACTTTGACTTAGCTTCTAAAATACTGCCGTAGCTTGGAAATATATCACAGTTCGGTTGTATGCTCAAAGACCTAATGCGATTGTATTGTTTTTTTTTTGTAAGGGATTCTCAATTATGAAAGCAAAAGCTTCATCTGCTGTAAGAGGGATTGTAGTTTTAGAAGCCAACTTGGCCTTTATCTTTGATTTATCTGAAGTATTTAACGTCTTATTTAAAATCCAAGAAGTGAAGTACTGTGCTCTCTCAACAAACCTGTAGCAATTTTTTTTAATCGTGATCCTCCTTCTTCGTAAGTTAATGATGGCCGTCCACATTTTTGAAGGGTCTTCGCCTGATCGATTGAAATTGAAACACTCTTTGAAAGCCAAATGGAATGTACACTTTTGAATCGTTCTGCATGTCTATTGCACTTCCCAAATTTTTTTTTATACATATCCGACAAAAATGGTCACTAACTTCTTAATTTCAGATACTGTGCTCTCCGTTAAAACGTCGCCATTGAACTTCTCTGGCACCCAATTAATCAGCGCAATGGTATTTCTATTATCTTCCAGCCAAACCGACAATAAATTTTCTCGGCAAAACTGAACTTGCTCTGCAATTACAAAATTATTAAGAATTTGCGCAAATATGCGCAAGAAATATCAATGTCATATAAAAGATGATACATCAACACATAACTGAGCACCACAAATTTTGCTCTTACGGCGACTCTTCACTAGTTTTTCTCTACAAAATAACACTGCTTTAAGATTCCACTTTACCAAAAAGACTACATCACATACATGGGCGTAACCCGGTAGGGGCAGGGGGTGCTCGAGCCACGCCCCCCCCTAACTTTCAAATTTTCCTTACATATATACAAAATAGTACCCTGAAATGCCAGCTTAATAGGGTCGAGCCCCCCTCCCCCCCTAAATTTCCTTCTGGCTGCGCCGATGATCACATAAAAGCTATTTAAAATCAACGGAGGCATTGAACTCATTAATATTTTCACAACACGTAAATCTTCAGACCTTTCCCTATATTTTCCATTATTTACTTTTATTTGTTAGACCGTGTTTTTAATTAATTTTCAATTAAGAAGCACAACAAATTTTCTGTACACAAAAAGCAATGAAACTTTTCCAAAAATATCTGTTTTTGCAGGGTTGTCAGATTACAACGCTGACCCAAAGGTTTTTTTTTTGTATTTTCAGCATGTAAATACAATTTACAAATATTTCGAATAAAAATGTTTAGTTTATGCCAAAAATAATGCCATTTTAATAATATAATATCCCAACGGTTTTTACCCTCCATTCCCGCCCATCCGCACGAGGGGCGCAGTCCGCATGACGTACGGAACCAATATTTTAAATTTTTGTGCCGAGTCACGATAGGCAGGAGTTTGTTAAGTGTCGAGATCTAAAACTGTTCAGCTACAGAACTAAATTCATCAGCTGATTTTATGTATTTATGTCAATAATTCACTTATTGAGAGAGGAGAGTATCGCTTTCTTAATGCTGAAAAGCGGATCTGATATATCAAACGTGCTGGAATGAGAGTTAAAATCCTGGCATAAGCAACGGAGTGGGTCGTGCAATTCAAAATTGGTTTTACAAGCTTTCAGAAATATGGGACAAAAGTGTCTTGATACGCGTGA